GTAGACGAGAGAGAGAGAGAGAGAGAGAGAGAGAGAGACTCTTCGGTATGAGTCGAAGCGGACGAAAGAGATGAGAGAGAGAGAAGCGGCAAGAATTAGGGTTCTTCGCCGGAATCGCCGAGGTAGAGATATTTTTTCCTGTACGTGAACAATTACAAAAAAAAAATCACAACTCAGCCGTAACTTACAATAAGTCATAATATAACTCAGCCGTAATGTATCATAACTCAGCCGCAATGTGTCATAACTCAACCGTAAACGACGTTTCGTATTTTCCTGTTTTTTTGTCGGAAAACGAAAAATCTCCACCCAAGTTGAGAAGAAATGCGACAGCAATGATGACGAGAAAGAGAGACACACCGATTATAGGATAAGCGGCCAGAAGAGACGAGAAAAATAAGCGGCGAGAGTTAGGGTTTTTCGTCGGCTTCAAGAGAGAAAGAACAGTTTTTTTTCTTATTCTTTTTAGTTTTCTGCCTTTTCCTTGGCCTATTCCGATCTGACATAGACACCTTTTTTGCAACAAATGAAACAAAACTCGAGAATGGGATATGAGATTTCGATATAGTGGCAAAATAACAAGACAGTAATGAGATTACGAGTTAGTGCCATAGGTTTACCGTTCACTCTCTTCGTCTTCATTATTGTCATCTTCAAAGCAACTCTCAACATGAACAGAACCACATGTGAGAACCAAGAACTCTTTTCTTTTCTTAGAACGTTGGATGTACGCAATTTGAGAAGAAATACGATAGGAATGACGACAAGAGAGAGACTCGTTGAGAATCGAAGCGGCCAAAAGAGATGAGAGAGAGAGAAGCAGCGAGAATTAGAGTTATTCGCCGGAATCGCCGAGGTTGAAATATTTTCGCCATAACTCAGCCGTAACTTACAATAAGTCATAATATAACTCAGCCGTAATGTACCATAACTCAGCCGCAATGTGTCATAAATCAGCCGTAATGTACCATAACTCAGCCGTAAACACCGTTTCGTATTTCCCTGTTATTTTTGTCAGAAAACGAAAAGTCTCCATCTAAGTTGAGAAGAAATGCGACAATAATAACGACGAGAAAGAGAGAGACACACTGATAATATGATAAGCGGCCGGAAGAAACGAGAAAGAAAAGCGGCGAGAGTTAGGGTTATTCATTGGCTTCGAGAGAGAAAAAAACAGTTCTTTTTTTGTTTGTAAATAGTGACGAAAATCTTCAGTTTCTTCCTCTTTTATCATTAAAGACAGAATAATGATTTGGCAATTTCAGGTATGACGTGGCATGTCGAATCTGACGTGGCAATTTTTAAGTGAAAATAGACTAAGGGTGTTTATTGTAATTACACCCATCTCACTAAACATATAAAGAATAAAAAAAAAATTTGGATGTTTAGGGAATAAACATACAATTGTGGTTTATCTAAGTAATTCTCCCTATTTTATTATTCACAAAATTTATTTGTTAAACTCAAGTGGTTGTGGTATAGCTGGTGGTTTTCTTTTAAGGAGTAGTTGTCACTAAGGTCTATGCCATAGATTAATTCCATTCAAACGTAAAATTTAATAAATCAATGTATTTGACTAGTCTAAATAGTACAACATTTTAGGTCCATCAGAAAATTTGGTGATTAGACTAGTCGACGGTTACACTAGGGGATTAGTCGGTGATGAAAACACGGATTGCCCTTAATTGAATTTGAACATGTCAGTTAGACTCTTTTTCTGAAGTTTCCTTTATCTCTTTTTTTAAAAGATTTGTTGAGAAATGCCCTTTTTGGTGTACTGTTTTTTAAAAAGACTTTCTTTTCTTTTCAAATATGAAAAATTAGAAATTTTTATATGGTTGATAAGGTACATCAAAATCTTCATTACTAATGGGAGACTAAATCCAAATATTTATAAAGTTTTTGTAAGGTTTTTAAAAGGTTTACAAAGTTTTTAAATGATTTTTCAAAGGTTTTTAAAAGGTATTAATACAGTATTTACGAAATATATATTAAAATTTATACACATATAAAGATAATTTGTGTCTATAAATATACGCTTACACATATGTTTTCGATAAACTTCAAATTTTATAGTGATTTTTTGATAAAATTAGAAATATGAGTATTTTTATAAAGTGATATTGAAAATTGGTATTTTTGAAATTCTCCCTTCTTTTAATTGGTTTTTATTTTGACAACAACATTAATTCTTTTAAATTTGTACACGAAAACAATTGGATTATATTTTTGATCACAATTTTTTCTTTTTAAAGCCAAGTGCTTGTGGTCTGGCTAGCAGTTTCCTCTTGAAGAGGAGTTCTCATGTAGATCTAGACTATAAATCAATTCCTTTCAAACACAAAATTTAATAAATCAGTCTATTCAACTAGTCGAAATGATGTTTTATTTTAGGTCTATCAGAAAATCTGGTAATTAGGCTACTCCACTTTTACTAGGGGATTAGTCGGTGGTCAAACCTAGTGTCACTTATAACTATTAAAAAAATGAGATTCTTTTAAGACTAATTTTCACTTTTACAAATAATGTTTGCTTATAGACAAAGGCTCAATGTAGTTTACCAACCATTACACACAATTTCATCAATAGAAAGAGAGCTTAACTCAAGATATATAATAAGAAAAGCTCTATAATAATGTGGTCTGTATTTTGGTTTCATAAACTGATGGAAGAGTGCATTTTATATTGTAGCCTTTACAGAAAATTTCAGCTTTTACGAAAAAACTATGCTCTTCATCAGATTTTTTTTTTTTTTTATCCACACTCACATTACAATACATGATCGATAGTTGAATAAATAATTCGAGAATGTTGACCAAGGTGACAAACTTTGCATCAATCTCTTGCACTTGTATCCTAATTATTATTTTTCGTAAATATTTCATTCACTCTTTTCGCTAAAAAAATGTTTTAGACTTGTACTGAATTAATCTTGATAATTCTTGTTTAACTAATATATATCTTAACCCTCTATTAAATTTTTTTTTGGCATTGTTTAATTTAAGAATGACGATATTTAAGAAACCATAAAATGTGACAAATACAATAATTTTCAACATTAATTAAATAGTGGCTCTTTAGCAGCTACACATACTAATATATTTTTTTAGAATTGGACAAGGAATAATCAAACCAGAGAGCAATATTTATATATATATATATATATCCCAATTTCTCTCAGAATAGTCTCGGAAACAATCTATCTCTGTTGAAACAGAAGAAGAGGACAAAAACAGTAGTGGAAGAGGGAGAGAAGAAGTAAGTTCTTTTAGGCTTCAATGAATCTGTGACTTGTTGTACAAGGAACTTTTTATGAATATATGACTTAGAGTACACGACATACAATATTGGTTACATGATTACATAATGGTTTTCGCAGTCCTTAAAATCAAAAGAGATTTGTTACTACGAACTTTTGTATGAACTATGAAGGTGAGTTTGTGCTTACTTCCTTACTTCTCTTGTAGAGAAACTTATTAAGTTGGCAATGACTCTCACCTCTAAGCTCAAATCCTTACGTACTCGATACTTCTCCTCATGTGGGAAGTCCAAAGACAAGGCTTTAATGAAGCAAAAATTGTTGGATCCTCTCTCTCTTCCTTCACCAAACTTTGATGAGGTGGTTCATGAGGTTTTTAAGCCACACTGGATCATTGGATTGATCCTACCTTGTTGGGAGCTTTGGCCGTGCTTAAATACGACGAAAGAGGATATCGTTGTTCTGCTCAGGTGAATCTCTACTTTAGTATACTTCAAAAACCCTAGAACTGAAAATTAAAGGAAAAACCTAGAACTGTGAAACTAGAAGATTTTAGGGTTTGTTAAGTTACTTTAATATATATATTCCAACAGGTTAAACATAAAATCAATACAAGGTTTAACTGTTATCTCTATGAGTTATATATATAGAAGATTCACGATTAATCTGTTTGTATATATATATTTTTTTTGAATGTAATGTTAAATTATATTCAAAGAAAAAATATCGTTTTTACAACTAGTGCATCGTGAAATCGAAAAATAACCGAAAATTTTGTAAAAAAAATACTTAATGCCTAAAATGAAATCTGTTTGTAATTATTGAGTTAATTAGTATTTTTGGTTATCAAATAATTAATTGACCTTTAAGTATCCTATAAGAATGGCTTAATTGATAGTATTTTAGGATTTCAACGTTGGCTTCAATCTCGTAGTTAACCTCTTTTCTCAATTTTTTTTTTAAAAAATCTATGTTTTAGCACTCGATTATATGTTGCACTAGTTGTACAAACGTTATTTTTCTTTTGAATATAATTTAACATTAAATTCAATTTTTTTTTTTTTTTGATATATTCTTGATCAAAGCTGATTGAGTTTTGTTTCTTAAATCTATGAATGTAGGTATATGATACTCCTCACTTGCAAGAATTAGTTCAGAATAATACGGTAAGGTTTTTTTTGGATGCAAAATCAACGGTAGGACTGATTCAAACTGCAAAATCAATGGTAGAACTGATTCAAACTCTAGATGTTCCATCCTGTAAGAATGATCGATGTTTCATTTACTGTGTTTTTGTGTTAGATTCAAAACCTCATGTTGATATGATGTCCCTTCAATGATACAGGAACCAAGGCGTTTATAGCGAGTTCATTACCCTCTCTATATACACAAGACGGCATTGCCGATGTAAAAAACTAATACATATACTCATCTTTTGTCTCCATTAGTATTTGAAACATTTGTTATGTCTTTTTTTGTTATCTTAGTTGAGACAAGGATATACACTATGGACAGGAATACTTGTCGGATCTAACATTTCTGTTACTCCGATATTTAGTTATTCGAGCCGGGTACTATTGATCACTTTCAAACTTTTATGTTCTAAATCTAAACTCTAGCTAGATCGGTTGCAATGAATAATGTTTTGATTTTCTTCGTAGGATGGTCGCAGGAAACTGGCATCGAAAATATTTCCATCGCTTCGTTCCCAACTCGAAAAGAAAGAGGACCATCGTCGAGCTAATGCACTACTCACTGCTGCATATGGTCATGGTGAAAGTGTGAAAAATTACTCTTTTTCTCAAATTTAGTTACATAAATTATCATTGTGTGAATAATATATATATATTTTGTTTTTTTCTTTTGAGAAAATTCGTCACTATTTTTGACTCTTCTTCTGTGTTTGAAGTTCTCTCACAATTTGGTGGCCGATTGGTTGTGTGCTTTCAAGACTTTAAATTTAAAGCCTCTACAACAATTATTTTGCTAATTAAAGATTTTGGCTTTTATTTTTTTTTAAAGTATGGAAAGACAATTTTATTTTTTCCTTCTTTGCTATCTCATTTTTTTAGAAGCGTCAAAAACCTGACTTTAAAATCTAAACAATTAAAAATTATTTATTTGTTCACATCCCCATTACATTTAAAACATTCTAGAAGTTTATAAATATATTTTATACATTTAATTTTTACATATTAATTATTCTCATTTTTTCTTGTTCTTTTAAGATCCATTTCAATAATAATCATTTTTATTTTCATGATGATGATGATGTAAAAGAGTTATGAAATTTATGTTTATATGTTTATATAGGGGATAACATTCAAAACAATGCATTAATTAATGTTTAATAGATTGCTTATATAAAAAAACATTTGAAATAGTTTTAAACACCATTATTATTTGACATAATAATCTATTAAGAATTATTCACCAAAAACAAAACAAAAACAAAAAATTATTGTTAGCGAAATTTGATATCGACTAATGGTATTATTATTATCTTTTAATTTCTTGTTCAAATGTATTGTTAGCGAAAATTAGTCATTAAATTGCTATATAAATTCATTTCTAGCATAATTTATATTTATTATTAATATAAAATAATAATAATAAAAATAACAGTCACAACTTTAAAAGCGGTGCATTACCAATCAGATTTTAACAGTAAAAGTTTCTACAGCCAAAGCATTTACAGCCAAATTCTCTGCAGCTAAAATTTTAAAGTCAAAGTCTCTACAGCCAAAAGTAACAGCCGTTACCAATCAGGACCTTGGTCATTGTCCAATTTTTTTTTTTTTTACAATTATCGAACTTTTCAAGTAGGGGTTTGGTAATGAAATTTGAAGAATACAACACTAAAGAAACTATAGGAGATTAGTATATTTGACTAATTAAATCATATTCCACATTAAAATATAATTGTATAGTTAATTTCATATTACATATTTTAACCATTCAATTAAATAATCTATGATTGTGAGATTGGGTTGGCTAAAGTATAAATCTTGAGGGTTCATACGATATATAAAGAACCATGGAGCTATGAGAGTCGCCTCTAAACAAAAGCACGTACGGATGGATCATACTCATGATGTTGATGAGCATCGAGATCGACATGTACCGATCTTACCTCTTTGTTCACCATAAACATGCACGACTCTTCAGACCTCAACTTCTACCATTAATCTCTGTATAAACATATAGTTTGAATTGAATTCACTAGTCACTACACGAGCAAACTAATACGTGGTCATGATTAATGCTTATTTATTTTCATTTTATAAAAATAATGTTAAATTATATTCGAAAAAGACGTTTGTACGTTTTATTTATAAAACCTGTCGTTTGTATTTTCAATGCAGATGATGAAATCAAATCTTAATCTTATCCCTGATTTTTCATGTTCTTAACTAGGGATGGAAACTGTTTTAGCATATTAACAAATGGTATAACATAAATTTACACATTTTCTTAATTTTTGTAGAAATGGTAAAAAAACATCTTTTGTAAGAACAAAGAAAATACTAAAATTAGATGATCTTACAAATTTAAGTCGTTCCTCTATATTTTAGCTCTCTCGTCATATGAGTCTATCCATTATTAAATTTCGTAGCTCAAAGAAATGAAGTTATTTAGACCATCTCCACTAGCAATTTTTAATGGGTTGCCTAATGAAAAAATGAGCCAGTATTAAAAGCAAAAAAGAAAGGGCCGATTAAAGCGAATAGCGTTATTTCTCTTGGCCACGTAAGAACTGGTTCTCACCCATTATTTTTTTATTGGTCTATTGTTTTTTATCACTCAAAATTTAATTCAAAAATAAATTTTTATTCCAAAGTATTATTAATTTAAGCTAAAAAACTCCTTCTAGTATTCAAATGGTTGGAGATACTCTTACAGTCTTACTACATTCTTCATTGAAAAGTGACTAAAAGCTATCTAATCTTAAAATGGGTCAAGTCCATTGGGCTTTAGAGGCCTCTAAATATTTAAAGAAAGAGAAAACCCAAAATTTTAAAAACCGTAAAAGGTAAAAACAAAACATTTAATATTAGTTTGACTAAACTTCTTGATGCAATATTTTTTTTTTCTTACTGAAACAAAAACAAATTAAACTAAAACATTCGAAACAAATTAAACTAAAGTATTTTTTCTTTTTCAGTGCAGGTTCAGAAAAAGAGAAGAGAATCACTTTTAAACTCGAAGCTGATTCAACCATCAACCCCAAAGATTCGAAATTTCCTCTACTCTTCTCTTTAAAGTGTGTTCCTTTATCTCCGTTGGTTCTTCATGCATTCTTCGTTGGAGCCGGAGAAAATGGAGGAAGAATCACAACAAGGAGGTGGTCAAGGAAGCAATTCGCTTAAGAGGAAATTCTCTGAAATCGATGGAGCTCGAAATCTTGAATCTTTCTCTTCTCCTATGATGATTGACTCTAATGGGTATCTTCATCTTCCTCTGCTTCAACTTGATTTAGGGTCTTATGGGTCTTTGCTTTAAGTTCTGTTAGGATAATTCAGTAAAGTTTACATTTTTATTGCAGTAGTTATGAGTTGAGAGTTTATGGTTCTTCCTTTGAGTTCCTTTCAAAGGGTTTAGTGGATAATGCAGTAAAGTTTGCTCCTTTTTCTTATGGGTTTGTGTTTTTGCAGTTTTTATGAGTTGAGAGTTTATGGGTCTTTCTTTGAGTTCCTTTTAAGGCAGTAAAGTTTACTCTTTTCCTTCTTATGGGTTTGTGTTTTGTGTTTGGTTTGTTTGGCGGTAGTTATGAGTGGAAGGTGTATGAGGTTGCAATGGAAAGGAACGTAATTGCTGTACTAGAGACAGGAGCTGATAAGTCAGAGATCATTAAGATGCTTACCAAAGCAATGGGTTCTTCTGATAAAGCCAAAAGATTGATAATTTTCTTGGCCCCAACTGTAAATCTTGTCAAACAGGCAAGTCCTTTACATTTTTGTATAGTTCTTTTGGATTTGATCAGTTTGAGTCTATGATATTGGTGAATGATAGGCCTTGGGAGCTCATGTTTTGAATGTTTTAATGTTGTGTATGGTTTTAGCAATGCTGTGAGATCAGAACAAATGTGAATTTGATGGTTGAAGATTACTTTGGAGCTAAAGGAGTGGATAAATGGACATCCCAACGCTGGGAAGAGGAAGTTAGCAAGTATGATGTAAGTTTGTGTTTCGGTTTGGATCTATTTTGCTAATTATTAGCCAACCAGTGACTTCATAATAGAATGTTGCAATCCACTTTGACCAGCTCGTTGTTATCTCTGGTAATGAAAAAATGCAGAAGTTCTTGAATATCACAGGCCATGGCCCAAATCTTCTTTTTGACATAGACGTTTCATTTTCTTGCATATAGCATATCAGCAGAGAATGTTAATATTTTGAGTCATTGATGGTCTTTGAGGTTGATTCTTTGTTTGGTTACCTGTTTAGTTAAGTCCATTCTAATTTGTTAGTACATATGCTGCATATAGTTTCGGGGTTGATTTAACTTCTATACTCGAGCTGTTGAGATAGATCTGTGACTATATTGACCACATTAAGTAATCACATACTTATTTTCTGTTGCCAAACCCAAGTGATCTGTGTGTCTGCAATGACACCATGTTTTGTCTGGTTTAGGTTCTTGTTATGACTCCTCAAATATTATTGGATGCCCTTAGAAGTGCATTCCTGAAACTAGAGATGGTATGTCTGATAATAATAGATGAATGCCACCGCACCACTGGTAATCATCCCTATGCGAAGTTAATGAAGGTGTGTTTTCTCAGCTCTATTAGTTTTTTATAAACAGTCCATAATTTGGCAACACACTAGATTCTTTCTTGTTTTCATGAAGGAATTCTACCACGGATCCACTAACAAACCGAAGATATTTGGATTGACTGCGTCAGCTGTCATTAGAAAAGGCAAGCTATTTAAAATTTTCTTATATCCTCTGCATTTCAAACCAAAGATTCTGATTTCTGTAACTAGTTTTAATGTTTCATCCTCATGCGAGTAAAATAAACTCTTTTGTTAGCCGTCTCTAAAATGTTTACTCTCCCTCTAACTATGCAGATCAAGTAGCAGAACTTGAGAGACTCATGGACTCGAAGGTACTTTGTTTTTGTGTAACAGAGAAGTATATGTTGTTTACAAATTAATGTTATGCAACTTTTTACTTTAAATTCAGATTTTTAATCCTGAAGAGCGGAATGGGGTGGAAAAATTTGCTACAGCAGTAAAAGAGGGTCCAATATTTTATGACCCACCATCATTTTGTAGTTTGGAATTGAAAGAAAAGTTGGAAACTTCACACTACAAGGTATTATATTATATGCTCACTCAAGATGGAGATCATGACTCTTTCCTATATGTTTCAGAATGCTTGAAGAAGATTCGGTTTTTTCTTTCTACAGTTTAATGCTTCTCTTAAAAGGCTTCAAGAGTTGGAAGAAGGCAGTTTGCTCAACATGGAGAATAAGTTTGAGATGTATCAAAAGCGTTTCTCCATCGACTACAGAGGGATTGTGCATTGTCTTGATAATCTTGGCCTGATTTGCGCGCAGTTGGTATTTTTTTTAGCACATACCGGTTAATCATTTGCTTACTCATTGTTAATTTCTTTTCGCTAGCACTACCTGCTGTACTGATTAAAATTTGTTTATTCGCATCTTGCTTTCCTGATAGGCAGCTGAAATCTGCTTGGAGAAAATCTCAGACACGAAAGAGGAAAGTGAAAGTTATAAAGAATACTCAATGGTTTGCAAGGAATTTCTTGAGGATATTTTATCCACAATTGGGGTGTATTTGCA